TCCTTGTCGAGAGCCCATGTCCTGTTGTAGGAGTTATGTTCACAGTAGTTCATTACCCCAAACCTCATCCCTAAATCTCAAACTAGCTAATCCATCAACCCGAAAACCCTTACTAAACCCCAAAGCCCTAAACCTTAAAGCCCTAAACCCTAAGATCTTAAGCCCTAAACCCCTCAACCTCAAACCTCAAGAGAAGCTGGGGTTCCACAGTATTGGATATTTCTTGCCGAGAACACTATGTGGTATCTGAGGGCGCGGGGGGGGAGGCTGGATTGCTTCTTCGTATTCAGGGGGGTTAGATGCTGATGACACAGAAGTCTAGAGTCTAGACCCCTTGTACAGCACTTGTAACCCCATGAAACCCCGTGAAAGTCTCACCAAGGCAGCAGAAACCCGTACATAACCGCAGGAAAGACCTGAAGAGCCGTGACGCAGCCGCGTAAAGCAACCCCGGAGCTGGCAAAGACTCGTAAAATATCCCCATATATTACCCTGCATAAGATAAAGCCTTAAGCCCTCAAGCTCCAATTTCCTAAGGCCAAACCCTCAAGCCCTCAAGCTCTAAAGCCCGAAAGCCCTGAGCCAAAAAACCCGAAACTGAACCCCGTCAACCCTAAACTCCAAGCCAAAAGTTCTTAAACACTGGACCCTAAACCCTAAACCCTATACCCGAAACCCTATATACCCTATACCCTAAACCCGAAACCCGAAACTGAGCCCTGAGGTCGCCTCCGAGGACTTGAAACCGGCGCCAGTGAAGCCGCCGCCTTTAGCGGCCCAGGGGCGGCTAGAGCTTCTCAAGGCCGGGCCTAGGGTTTAGGGTTTAGGGTTTGGGGCCTAGGGTTTAGGGTTTGGGGTTAGGGTTTAGGGCTTAGGGTTTAGGGTCTAGGGTCTAGGGTTTAAGGTTTAGGGCCTGGGGCCTAAAGTTGAGGTAGGGTTAAGAGCCTCAGGGGGATCTATAAGGCTCCATACAGGGTGTCGGGTTTGAGGGTTTAGGGTTCCGGGTTCCGGACTGAAGACTTGGGATTTTAGGATTAAGGTTTAGGATGTAGGGTTTGAGGATTTAGGGATGTAGGGTTTGGGATTTAGGGTTTCGGGTTCTATTTCTGAGTTATGTTGCAGGGTTCAGGGGCTCTAAGGACCCGGAAGCTTTTGCGACCGTGAAGCCCATTGCTCTATGTATGCACTTATGTAAGTTCTTCATGCGTACGAACCGTACATATATATATATATATATACTTATTTGCCTATTTTTGTATGGCAGTACAACAGACCCCCGACCAATAAACTTTGTTTTAGTTATTCAGGTACTTATATGGTGCTGAAGAGTCCAGAGCCAACTGTCGAGCACCCCTTCACGTGCTCTGAGTGCAAGAGCCGAAGGGTACTGGTGATGGTGATCGCAATTTAGGCTTCTGGGGTTAAATCCTAAACCCTAAATCCTCCAACCTGAACCCCACTACATCCAAGACTCTACACTGCTCATCCTCCACTTAAGCCCTATATGCCCTAAGCCCCAAATTCCAGACCCTAAGCCCCCAAACCGACTATGCAGGAAGAAGGGGATGGCTTTCTGCGGATCCCAGCGCCTAAGGCCCCCCGGGAGCAGTTTTTTTTTGGGGGGGGGCCTTGGGCTTCAGCGCTTTAGTTAGGATTGAGTTTTTTGGGGTTTCTTGTTAAGGGGTTTTGGGGTTTTGGGGTTTTGGGGTTTAGGGTTGAGAGGTTTGGGGGTTTTGGGGTTTAGGGCTTTGGGGTTTAGGGATTGGGTGTTGGGGTTTAGGGTTCTGTTTTGGGTTCAGGGTTTTGGAGCGGTCCCGATTGGTAAGGCTGATCTAGTAGGGGGAACGAGAGGACGTATCGGGCCTAAAACGAGGAAATCTGAAGAAAGCCCTATTCTACCAGGTTGCTGGCCGCCCCGAACTAAAGCCCTGAACCCCAAGACCCTAAACCTGTTTTCACATAAGTCTAAACGTTAATACATACAGTCGTGGGTAAAGGCAAGTTGCTCCCCTAACTTGGCGAAGGCAAGTTTTGCCACGAATGGATCAAGGTGTGTAAACTTTCGTCAGTTCGTGGTCACGAATTTGTCGAAAGTTGGGGGGCCAACTTGCCTTTGCCCACGAATAGATCAAAGTTTATTAGCTTTAGGTTAGTTCGTGGGCAAAGGCAAGTTGGGTTTCAGGGATTCGTGGGCAAAGGAAGAATCGGATTACACCTGGGAAATTTCCATTGCAGGCATGTGTTTCCCTTCAAAGGGCGCTTTGAGGGTCCGGAAGATTCCTGGGCAAAGCCAAGGAGTCGGGATGACGCTCTTAATTCGAGTCCAGGGGCGTAGGGGTTAGGATTTGGGCTTTAGGGTTCAGGACTTAGGCCTTGGGCTTAGGATTCAGGCTTCAGGGTTCGGGATTGAAGCGCTTAGGGTTTAAGCCTTACTGATGGTTCAGGATTTAAGCCTTAGGGTTTAGGATTTAAGCTTTAAGGCTCCTGAAGTTCACCACACGATGTCGTAGGCCTCTGGGGTAGAGGATTCAGGTTTCCGCCTTAGGGTTTAGCATTTAGAGCCTAGGTTCAGAAACAGAAAGTAAAACGGTTTGCTCACGCTATGGGAATGAATGGGTGGGTGGGATGATTTCAGTTTCGGAAGTAGCGATCTCGACTAGAAGCTCCTCGAACTGGAGCTGCTGAACCCCAAACCCTAAACCCAAAACCCTAAAGCCCTAAAACCTAAACCCAAAACCCTAAAACCTAAATCCTAAACCCTAAACCCTAAAACCCTAAAACCCTAAACCCTAAAACCTAAATCCTTAACCCTAAACCCCAAAACCCTAAAACCCAAACCCTCTTCCCCTAAGCCCAAAACCTAAAGCCCTTTGTCTGTCCTACCAGGCTGTTGGGCCGCCTCCACCACTCCCGGAGCTGCCTCCGGGGATGAGCCCCTCAGGCCGGCGCCTTCGCTTTTTGTTGTTCAAATGTTTCAGGGTTTAGGGTCATGGGTTTAGGGTTTAGGGTCATGGGTTTAGGGTTTAGGGTCAAGGGTTTAGGGTTTAGGGTCTAGGGTTTAGGGTTTGGGGTTAATTAGGGTTTAGGGTTTAGGGCCTTCTGGGGGTTTTAGGTTTGGGTTTCGGGGTTTCGGGGTTCATGGGTTTCAGAGGGGTTTTGTGTATGGTAACAAGATGTAGGTGCTTACGCAGTGGTCAGGCGTAGCCTTTTCTGATCCGGGGGAGCGCACCGTGGCCCTGGAACACTTGGCAGACGAGGATTCAAGGTTTGAGCATGGCCGATCTTGGGTTCTGGGGCTTGACAGGTGACTACCAACATTAGTTGTTAGGGTTCCGTATTCTGACTAGACTGAACTTACTTTACAATCTACCCCAAACCTTTTTTGGCGGGGTTCTGTACTAAGCTATACTAGAACATACCCCAAAACCTTAGTCTAAGCCCTAAGCCCTAAGCCCTAAAACCTGAACCCCTGAGCTGAAGAGGTGAGTACGACCAGCTTCCTGTGGAGTTTTTCCTGGATGAGGACGTGCCAGGCCGGGAGACCTGGGAGGGGTTCCCTTAAGGGACTCCTTACAGGGCTAAGGGGTTTGAGGTATAGGGCTTAGGGCTTAAGGTTTAGGGTTTAGGGTTGAGGGCTTAAGGTTTAGGGCTTTGGGCTGAAGGTTTAGGGTTTTGGGTTGAGGGTTTATATTCTCCGTAAACGGGTTCCTTTACGGGGTTGCTTTAAGGAGTCTTTCAGAGCCTTTGGGGTTAGGGTTGGGTTTAGGGTGTATGGTCAGCAAGGTTTGGGCTACAGGGCATGGCTCTGCTTAAAGCATCAAAGTGAAGACAGTTGCTAGATGTGAGTTGTGATTCGGAGGCCTGCTCCAGATGTTGCAGCTTTTCTGTTCAAAATCTAGGGTCCCTAGCATAGAAACCCTAAACCCTAAACCCCTAAATCCCTAAGCCCCTAAAGTGTTGACAGTTTCCCTGAACACTAAGTCCTGAACCCAGAACCGCAAGCCCTACACCCAGAACCCCTTTAGAGCCTGAATCCTGACCTCGGAACCTCCGTAAACCTTACCACCCCTACATGAAGGATCAGGGGTATTAAGCAAGGTAACTACAGTTATAATTGCATGTAGCACCAATCAAGGTACTTGTAACCTTACTAAGGCCCCTGATCCTCCAAGGATGTAAACTTCAAAGTTCCGAAGCCCAGCAAGCTCGAACAAACGATAGTAATCGATAGTAGGCCCTATAGGTCGATTGACTCCCTCAAGGCTTTAAGGTCATCCCAAGAGCCCGCATGCCTCAAACAACGGAAAACCCTTAAACTCCATATCCCCTCCTAAGATCCCTACAAGACCCGTTTAGCCGCAAAGGCTACAGGGTGAAAGTTTGACAAAACCCTTTTCACCGTATAAGACATGCACAACCCCGTCAAAGCTATGTAATGAATCCCTACAAAAACCATCGCAAGATTATTATTCAACCACAAAATGCAAAGAGCAATCTTTCTGCAGCCACGCCCTAAGTCTTAAATCTTCAAGCCACATCCCCTCCGCGCCAGTTGCTCCCGCAGCTGCCGGCAGAACTCTCCCACCACTGCCGAGACATCGCGCAGGGTGTAACCCAGAGGCCGTGAGCCGCTGGGAAAGCACGTAACCCAAAGCCCTCAATTAGGGCGACTTTGGGGTTGAGGCTTAAGGGCTTAATTGACCTCCAAATCCCAAGCCTCAAGTCCCAAACCCTACATCCAAGCCCTCGGCCCCATACCCGAAAAGCCCGAAACCGGAAACCCGAAACCCGAAACCCCAACCCCTCAGGCCCAAACCCGAAACCCGAAATCCCAAATCCCAAAACCCTCAACCCTAAACCCTAAACCCTAAACCCTTAAACCCTAAAACATTTATAACCCCCCAAAAAACGCCTTCCTTAAAGGAACCCTTTAAAGGGACCCTTTATAGGGAACCCTTAAAGGAGCCTAACAACCTCCAAAAAACGCTTTCCGAGGTCCCATGAGCGATGCCCTGCCGCCCGAGAAGGCGCTGCCGGAGCTGTCGCCGAGCGTCCGGCCGAGAAGCTTCCGCCGAAAGGTGCGGTTGCGAGAGTGCGGGGATTTAGGGGCCTTTAAAGGGTGGTCGAGGGTTGAGGGTTTAATTTTGAGATTGTGGGTGTTTAGGGGTTTAGGGCTTGGGTTTA